GTTCTAGGAAAGTCTCTAAATGTACCAACCTAGTTTTTTGGCCTCTGCGGTTCCACTTCCAGCTAACTGTTCTTGTTAACCCAAGACGATTTGGGGGCTTAAAAGCTCACCCTGAGAAATGCTTGCGGCTACACTGGGATCCTGAACACCCAATACAGTCACCAGCCAGCTAATAAATGACTTGATGCTGCCTTAAACCCATGTCTGAGCAGTCTTCTCTGCTGGATAACTCACAATAGGAGGAGAGCACAGACTCCTCAGTGTTGACCTTTGAACTCTACAGGGTGTTGTAGCACGCACCACACCATCAGTGTTGTTGATCTTGGCCATTCTTAGAGGTGTAAGATGGAATTTCAGAATTGTTTTGATTTGCATTTTTTTGATGGCTAAGGATAGTGAGCATTTCCTTAAGTGTCTTTCAGCCATTATAGACTCCTCTGTTAAGAGTCAGGCTGTGGTGGCGCACACCTTTAATCCCAGCACTCCGGAGGCAGAGGTAGGTAGATCTCTGTGAGTTTGAGGCCAGCCAGGTCTACAAGAGCTAGTTCCAGTACAGCCTCTAAAGCTACAGAGAAATCCTGTCTCGAAAAAAACAACCAAAAAAAGAAAAAAGAAAAGAAAGAGGTCTCTGTTTAGGTCTGTGCCTCATTTTTTATTGGATTATTTTTTTGTATATTTTGAAGATCAGCCTTCTGTCCAATATGGTGTTGGTGAAGATCTTTTCCCATTCTGTAGGCTGTCATTTTGTCTTGTTGACCATGTCTTTTGCTTTATAGAAGCTTCTCTGTTTCAAGAGGTTACATCTATTAATTGTTGCTATCAGTTGTAATCAGAGGCAGTGCACTCATTCCTGATCTCCCAGACCCTGAAACTATATTAGTTACAATATTATTTGGCAAATAACTCAGGTATATTTCTAGCTAGCCACTATATCTTAAATTAACCCATTTCTATCAATCTATGTATCATCACAAGGCTGTGGCCTACTGGTAGGCGTCCTTCTCCTCTAGCAGCTACATAGTATCTCTTCTTTGAAGCTACGTGACATCTCCCTGACACCACCTACTCTCTATATCTCTGCCACCCTGGCTATATTCTGCCCTGCCATAGACCAAATTCATTATCCTTAACCAATAAGAGCAAAATATATACAGAAGGACATCCAACATCATCTCTCCTTTTCTGTCTAATTAAAAATGAAGGTTTTAACTTAATAAAAATATGAAGCAGTTATCAAGGAAGGTTTTAACATAATAAAAATATGAAGCAGTTATCAAGGAAGAATTATAGTTACAATATTTTATCCATTTACATTTGAAAAATTAAGGAAAATATTATCTATCCTATCTTTGTGAGTTTAAAGTTTTATAGCTGATTTATCTTTTACCATAACTAAGGAAAATTATAACTATAAATATCTGTCTTCAACTCTTCAAAGACCCCAGAAGGATATAATAGTATCTAAGTAAATAGGAAGTGCATTGTAAGCAACTTCTAAAGTTGTAGAATTGACAGAGACATCTTGCTGCCTGGACAATTGCCCAAAGTTTTTCTGTAATGTTGGGGCATCCATCTTTAGCCCACAGGCCCATAGTATCAAAAAGACTTTTTCTTGAAGCGAGAAATTTAAAGATCTGTTCTTCCTTGCACTGGCAGCAAAGATCAGCAGTTGCGCTCTTCTGTGTTCTGCAGAATGTTTGGCAGTTTCTTCTGTGAAGCCAAAAATCTGAAGAACCATCCCATCTTTTGGAAAGTTCAGCAGTCATTTTTCTGTGGGTCCTGCATGTCCAGTTCATACAACATATCATAGAGAAGTCCAGGAAACAGCAGTATCTTGCCCAAACGGCTCTCTTTGTCACATTGAAGGCAAATTCCATAACAACTTTCTTCAATGCCAATCAACCTCTCTGAAGTAATTGGTACTGCTAGAAGCAGGCAAGTCTCACTGTCAAGAAGGACCTAAGATCTTAAAATATTTTAAATGCCATATTCCATAGGTCTTTGGAAGGTTTGAAAAAACCTATCTAAAATATGCCTCTAACATCTAGAAAAATTTAACTAACATGACTATAAGTTTGACTATTATAAGTGACTATTAACCTGTAATTTTTAATTATATATTACATTTTCTAATGAGCTACACAAACATAATACCTTAACCGAGCAGAACTACATATACATAGTGTAACAAATCAACCTTAAATTTGTATCAATAGACCAAAGTTCATAACAATGTAAAGTATTCATCCCTATATATCATATCTCCCTTTAAATTAAAAAAAAATTTATAAACAATCATTTTCGGAATTTGGGCATCATTTTCTCCAAACTGCTTCCTGTTGTTTGTTGGGCAAAGTATTTTTAGAGTTCACAGAGACCTTTTGTGGGGGTCTTGTCCCATCAAACGACATTAGCCTGGAAGGAATCTACAGGTATTCATCTTCTGTAGAAACAAAAGCAGAACCTCTTTTGCAAAGTAATGTATGCTTAGGCTCAAATTTTTAAGTACTGAAATCTTTAAAATATATACATTGGCTTAGCTTAGCAGCTCCCATATTCAAATGTCTCTCTGCAATCAAAAAATTCAAAGAAATCACAATATACATAATCCAGACTCTCTGTGTATATTCCATCTTTACATAGCTTATATAATTTTTACTCTATTATATTTTAATATTTATTTTATCTTTATTCCTTTAATTTATGACTGTCTGTACTCTTTCTTCTCTCTTTCTCTTAAGCCCATGTACATTTATCCAATACTGTGACCCATTTAGAGGTCTTTTTTTTCTGAATCTATCTTTACTGTGTATCTGTAATGCTTTTCTGACCAGAAGCACTTTTTAAAATGCTAAGCAGTGTGGCTAGGACTAATTTGCTCCACCTCATCCAACATGGCAGAGGTATGTTCAATGCTCACCACCCCAGCTCCAGGGACTCAGCAGGCCTATGTCACCGTTAAGCAACTAGTAGCACACTGCTCACAAATCCCATTTTATTGCTCCATAACAGATAGAGTCAGAGCTATTTGTGCAGCCAACACAAACCAGAAAGCCGGCTCTAAAAGGAGTGGGCCTCTGCTCCCACATCACTCAGTGTCTGTGCTACTGGGGTTTATTTATGAAATGGTTTCCTGTGTCAATGTGTTCAAGTGTACTTCCCACTTTCTTTTCTATGAGGTTCAGTGTGGTTGATTTTATGTTGAGGTCTTTGATCCATTTAGACTTGAGTCTTGTGCATGGCGATAGATATGGACCTATTTACATTCTTCTACATGTTGATATCCAATTTTGCCAGCACCATTTGTTTAAAACATTTTATTGTTTCCATTTTACATTTTTTGCTTCTTTGTCAAAAATCAAGTGTTTGTAGGTGTTTGTAGGTGTGTGGATTGATATCTGGGTCTTTGATTTGGTTCCATTGGTCCTCATGTCTGTTTTTATACCAATTCCAGCCTGTTTTCAGTACTGGTAGCTCTGTAGTACCATTTGAAGGCAGGGATTGTGATACCACAAAGTTCCTTTATTGTGCAGGATTGTTTTGCTTATCCTGTTTTTTTTTCAATTTTCCATATAAAGTTGAGTATTGTTCTTTTGAGATCTGTGAAGAATTTTGCTGGAATTTTGATGGGCATTGCATGAAATCAGTAGATTGCTCTTGATAAGATTGCCATTTTTAGTATGGTAATTCTACCTATTACTTTAGTTTTCATTGATGGTGATGTTATTGTGTGTGTTTTTCCCTACTTTGCAATTTGCAGATATGAAATCAGCTATCATATGTGTTTTTGTGACTGTAGCTAACTTCCTTGGGTTAAAGTTTCCTTCTATTACTTTGCGTAGGGCTGGGCTTGTAGTGAAAAATCTGGTTCTGTTGTGAAATGCCGAGTTTGTCCATCTATGGTGATTGAAAATTTTGATTGATATAGTAGTCTGGGCTGGCATCCATGGTCTCTTAATACCTACATAACACTTGACCAGGACCTTCTGGCTTTCATGGTTTCCATTAAGGAGTCAAGTGTAATTCTGATAGATCTGTCTTTATATGTTACTTGGCCTTTTGCCTTGCAGCTCTTAATATTCTTTCTTTATTCTGTATATTTAGTATTTTGATTATTATGTGGTGAGGGGACTAATTTTGTTGTTGTTCCAGTCTGTTTGGTATTCTGTAAGCTTCTTGTATCTTCAGATGCATATCTTTCTTTAGGTTGGCAAAGTTTTCTTCTATCATTTTGTTGAATATATTTTCTGTGCTTTTGAGTTAGACTTCTTCTTCTATACCTATTATTCTTAGGCTTGGCCTTTTCATAGTGTACCATATTTCCTGGATATTTTGTGTTAAGCTTTTGTTAGATTTAATGTTTTCTTTGACTAATGAATCTGTTTCCTCTATTGTATCTTTAAGTCTTGAGATTCTTTCTTCCATCTCTTGTATTCTGATGTTTATAGTTGCACTTGTGGTTTCTAATCATTTTCCCATATTTTTAGTTTCAAAATTGCTGTAGGAAATCATACAGCCAATAGCCTTTAAGTTAACCGCCCACTGGGGCGTGGCCTCTCATATTATTTATGCCGATGTAAAGCATGCATCCAGCCTCTTTTTTCCAGCTATGGGATTCAGTTTCTGTTCTCTGTTCCAGCAGAGGATTCTGATTTGTGAGTCTACCCTTAAATAAATAACCATCTATTGTTTCAATTCTGAGCTAGTGTGGGATTTCTTTTAAGCATCCTTCTTCATCTGGCATCCACGTGGATTTGAACTCCATACCTACCAGGTGGATGTCCTAAAGGCCTGGCCGGTCCACAGCCCAAAAAGTCTCCCAACCCTGCCTGCTTGACTTGCTTTATACCTAATCAGTTTTTTGTAGAACCCCTGCCACAGCAGAACTTACTGTGTGCAGCAACTTGGAAATTTCCCAAGCACACACAGGACTACCACATTCCCTGGCACAGTTCCTTGCCGTGTGGCAACTTCTTCAGCTTCCAGTTTGTGCTCTCTGCCCGTGAGTTCTGGGTTTCTAGTTCCACATATTGAATTGATTTAATTGCTTTTAATTTGTCAAGCAAAACATATTTCTCAGTATTTAACCAGTACCATGGCAGGAAATTGAAGCGGCTCAGGACTGTTCTTATTGCCACTGGTTGCATTGCTTCTAGTTGCAACTCTGCAACCACGACACCTGCTGGACAATAAAGATTATAGTTTACATATCACATAACAGGTAATTAATAAATCAATTTGGCAGACTACATTAATATTGAAACTTTTAGCAACATTTTTGCTAATACTATGGATTGTATTCTGCGATGTTTATATGATTATGGTGATACTTCAATTTATTGGATATTGGGACTCAGTTTTTTTCTTCATATTCTATCATTAAGAAGGAATGTGGCACTTTTAGGAATGGTACAATCTTTACAGCTCAAAAATGAACAGCTAGTTGACAGGATTAAAATCATGAAAATCAAAAATTACCTGAAAAAATTAATACTATTAAAAAGGATAAAATTAATTTGACAGACAAAATTGAATCCATACTAAGGATTCTGAAAAATTATCTGGAAGAATTAATACTGTTGAATTTGACAAATTTGACAATCAAAATTTGTTTAAAAAGTTATGATAGGTTAGCAGATAGAGTATCTCTCCAAGATGGCAATCTGCATGCTACCAAGTAAAGTCCAAGGAAGAGGTGTTATCTTTAAAGGAGAAACTTCAGACCTTGAAATCACATGTGCAGAATGAGGACCAGAGGCTAGGTGCCACAATGAAATCACTAGAAATATACACAGGCCAGGAGATTCAGGCTTTACAAAAGACAATAGTAAAAAGATTTGAAATAATTGAGGAAATTATTGGAGCTGATGAACAGGGAATGAAGGCACAAGGATAGGATTCAACACTGCCAGTAGCTGTCAGAGATGACTTACCCAGGGTTTTAGCTTCCTACCCTGTAATCTACTCTGACAAAGCATCTAGTTCTAAAGGCCCAAAAGGATCCAAAGAGGGTAGATGGATACCTATAGGAATGAATGATCTAAAAGAAATTAAACAAGTTGTTGTAATTTATGGCTTGCATTTCACATTTGTTAAGGAGATGTTAAAGACTTGGACTTCTAGAATCAAGGCAAGACTGGATTCAGTTAGTTTCAGCAGTCCTGGATGATGGGCCCAGTTGATGTTTAAATGTAATTTCATGGAAGAGGCCAAAATTTTGGAACAACAGAGAAAAGCAAAAGGCATTGAGAATTCCCAAGATCAAATTCTTGGTGAAGGCACTTATACTAACCCACAGGTTTAAACTCTTTACAATGAACAAATCTTGTCCCTATGCACAAAGCAGTCTTAAATGCTTGGAACAGAATTCAAGAACTAGGAAAACGAACTAAATCATATACTAAGGTTAAAAAGGGCCAGAGAGAACCCTTTAGTGACTTTTTACAAATATTAAGTAAGGCTGTACAAATAGGAGAAACAGACCCAGATGCTAAAGGAGTACTTATTGAACCTCTTGCTTTTGAAGATGCTAGCTTAGAATGCAAAAAGATACTTGGGCCTTTAAAGGTTAGATCAGTACCTATGGATGAATGGATTCTGCATACAATGAACATTGAGACATTTGACTATAATACTAAATCTTGGGTAGGAAGAGCAATTTCCAAAGGAATGAAGAGACATCAAAATGCCAAATGTTTTAATTGTGATAGAATAGGACATCTGAGAAGGGATTGTAGACAAGGAATTCCTAGGAATAATATCTCCTCTGGGAATGGCAAAAATAGTAGGACTCAGCCCTCAGGTATATGTAGAAGGTGTGGCAAAGGCCAACATTAGACCAATGAATGCAGATCAATAACAGACAGACAGGGTAACCTGATACTATTGGGAAACTCCTTGAGGGTCCTCTTGCAGGCCCCCAAGCCAAAAGTGGCCCAGTCATTCCCAGTCACTATGGATGACAATTAAATTAAATTAAAAATTTAATTAAAAATTAATTAAAAAATTAATTTAAAAAATTAAAAAATTCAGATCCTTCTGTAAAAGACCATATTGTTCTAGATGATGACATAAACATGGAGGATACATCAAAAATTTTAATAGGAAATAGGAAACATATATTCTAGCAGACTTCTATAAATGATCAAAAACCAAAGCTAAGAGTGCGTATAAATGGCATTGTAATTGTTGGTTTGATAGACACAGGTGCAGATGCGAGTACCATTACTCCAGAATCTTGGCATCTAAATTGGCTGCTTCAAAAGGCAGATGTTCAATTACTAGGAATCGGAACCATATCTCAACTTAAACAAAGAACGAGATGTTTTGACTGCATTAGGCTAGAAGGTCAAAGAGGGAAGCAGAGGCCATATTTGGATAATATTGCAGTAATTTTATGGGTTCATGATCTGCTGCAGTATGGAATACCCAGATAACATTCCTGCAGTCCCAGGAACTCATAATTCTGAGAAGAATATTCTAAGATACTATACACAAAGGTCACCAGCCATTCAGGTTGTACAAGAACATAAAGCAACTAGCAAACCTTTAGAGGTACCAACAGCCCTACCTTTAAAATGGTTAACTGAGAAACCAATATGGGTTAAGCAGTGACCTCTAACTGAAGAAAAGTTGCAGGCTTTAGAACAGCTGGTACAAGAACAACTAGATGCTCACCATATTGAAGAATCAAGCAGCTCTTGGAATTCTCCTGTATTTGTTGTAAAACAGAAATCTGGTAAATGGAGAATGGTGACAGATCTAAGCTGTCAATAAGGTAATTCAACCTATGGGCCCTCTACAATTCCTCTGCCTTCTCTATTACCAAAAGGATGGTCTCTTATAGTTATTGATTTGAAAGATTGTTTCTTCACTATACCTTTACAAGAAAAGGATAGAGAAAAATTTGCCTTCATAATGCCTACTTATAATAATTCTCAGCCTACTAGGAGATGTGAATGGACTATCCTTTTACAAGAAATGCTCAATAGCCTCACTTTGTCAGCCAGCCATTGGAAATAATGTGTAAGCAGTTACCTAAGTCTCAAATTTACCATTACATGAATGACATTTTGCTATCTGATTCAAACATAAATACTTTAGAAAGAATGTTTGAAAAAGTAAAGAAAGTTTTGCAAAAATAGGGATTACAAATTGCTCCTAAAAAAAATACAAAGAGGAGATTCTGTCAATTACCTAGATTACAAAATAGGTTTACAGAAAATTAGAACACAAAAGGCACAAGTTAGGACAGACTGATTGCAGATACTTAATGAATTTCAAAGATTGTTAGGAGACATTACCAGTCTATGACCTACTGTTGGGATAACACCTGATCTAATAATTCATTTAAACACAACCTTAGATGGTGACAAAGACTTTAATAGTCCTAGGGAATAAACAGCTGAAGCGGGAAAAAAAATGATGGTTGTTGAAGAGAAATTACAGAAGGCACATGTGGATAGGCGAATCCAAATCTTTATTGCATTTTAGTCATATTGCCTTCCAGAATTTCTCCTACAGGAATTTTAATGTAGACAGACGATATTATATTAGAATGGATCTTTTTTACCACATAAACCAAGTAAAAAATTAAAAACTTATGTGGAAAAAGTCTCTGAATTAATTGTAAAATGTAAATTGAGACTTTGTCAATTAGCAGGTATAGACACAGCAGAAATTATAGTGCCTTTCACTACTGATGAAATAAAAAAGTTATGGGAAGACAATGAAACATGGCAAAGAGCTTGTGCTAATTTTGGGGTGGAGAAATTAATAGTGATTATACCAAAAGCGATAGACTTAACCTTATAAAGAGAACTTCTTGGATTCTTCCCTGAATTATATATGATTCTCCAATAACTGGAACCCGTACATTTTATACTGATCATTTTATAAATCAGGGAAGGCAGGTTGCAAATTAGAAGAATTAAGAAAGGTTGAACAAAACCCTTATAATTCTGCCCAGAAGGTAGAATTATATGCTATTCTCATGGTGCTAAGGGATTTTAAAGAACCTCTTAATTTAAAGAACCTCGGAATATAGTTACTGATTCACAATATGCAGAAAGAGTTGTCTTGCATATTGAAACCACTGAATTTATACCAGATGATACAGAATTGACTTCATTATTTATCCAAGTGCAAGACATAATCAGGAATAGGCTTTGTCATATATATATATCACATCTGATCCCACATGGGTCTGCCAGGTCTTCTAACACAAGGTAATGCAGAAAGTGATGAATTAGTAATTGGAAGTGTATTGCAGGCCTCAAAATTTCATTTAAAAAATCACGTCAATAGCAAAGGTTTAAAGAAAGCGTTTTCTATTACATGACAACAAGCTAAGGAGATTATAAAAAGATGCCCTACTTGCTCTTTCTATAACCAAACACTGCTACCTGCAGGGGCTAACCCAAAGGGTACTCTAAAGGAATGAAATCTGGCAGATGGATGTGTTCCACTTTTCAGAATTTGGAAAATTAAAATATATATATACCATACCCTTGACACTTATTCAGGTTTTCAGTGGGCAACTGCTTTAAGCTCAAGAAAGGCTGTTTCAGTAATCACATATTTATTAGAAGTTATGGCCGTCATGGATAAACCTGCACAAATAATGTCCAGCATATGTCTCTAAGAAAATGAAACAATTTTTTGCTTATTATAATATTAGGCATATTACAGGTATACCACACAATCCTACAAGTCAGGCAGTTATAGAAAGATCAAATCGAAATATAAAGGATATGTTACACAAACAGAAAGAGTTGGAAAATGACCCCAGCATTAGATTACATAATGCATTCTTAACCTTGAATTTTCTTTACGCTTATGAGAAAGGAAGAACAGCAGCAGAGAGACATTGGATAATAGAAAAGTCTTCTGAATTAAATCAGCCAGTTTATTTCAAGGATGTTTTGACCTCACAATGGAAGCCAGGAGATGTGCTACACTGGGGAAGGGGTTTTCTCTTGTTTCCACAGGAGAAGAAAAACTATGGATTTCATCAAAATTAATAAAGATTCGGTTTGAAAAAGAGAAACCTCATGAAGAAGAGAAATGACAGCTCATCCACGATGGTGACAACCATACAGGTGGTAAGGAAAGCATATAGGGTTGGGGCAGTGTTCTGTTGTTGCTTTTCAGGAAAATACTCATCTTCAAAAATTCGAG